TATGGGGTAATTAGACTGTAAGAACATAAGATATAGAAGCAGAAGTAGGCCTTTTGGCCTATCAAATCTTCTCCGCCATTCCTTGAGATGATGGCTGATTTAATAATGATCAACTCCACTTTCCCACAACTATTGATTCCTTTAATGATTAAAAATGCATCTCGGTAGCAAAAGTGCAATGTCAGAACTTATGTCATTAATTTAGTCATACCATATTTTCGTGGAGTTTTGCACAGTTTTGGCAATACCCTTACAGATAACAGTTACAAATTGTTCATAAATCTTCAATAAAAGTATTAATGATCATTTTTAAGTCCAGTTTCATGCTACTGCCACCTTGACACTTAAATATATTGAGACAGGTTCCCTTGCAGTCATGTGATTTGTGGACTTTCTGCTTCAGAAAAGTTAGACTCTGTATGGAGTTGGACACATCAACTCTTGTCTATGGATCCAACTTAACATGTAATTGGGAAACAGCTGTCTAGGGTTAAGCCGTTTGGATCATTTTCTTAATCAATACAAAACTATCGACTGCAAGTAACCTCAGTATTTTGTGGATTGTATTCATGACTCTAGACTTCACAAATCCGAACGTAATTTTAATCATGAGCTAAAAACTCAATAAGGCTTGTGAGCAATTGTGGAAAGAATGAATCATAATAACCCCCAGCCTGACTGAGGTGTTGCATACAGCACACAAACTTTATGCTGCTTGCTTATCACTATGATTATGGTGTACATCTGAGTACCAAGCACTATTGTCTGACTGCATGCTCAACAGGGGCCTCAGGTACATGCGTGGCTAGTCAGAGCTACAAGTAATAGTTAACCTGCATTTCTTAAAGGCAGCTCGTTCATTTTAAGGGAGGGTGCCTTCAGACCGTAGCAGCCTGTTCACATCTTTTAGAGAAGGAGCAGTATCATCAGTGTGACATCAAGCTAGAAGGAACACTCTCAGGAGGAAAGAGGTCATGTTTCCAGTGGGGATGGGGAGACACACACACTATGAAAGGAAAAGAGAACAGGTAGCCATGGAAGTCCATGCTAAAAAACTGTCCCAAGAACCTTCCCACAGTGCTGCAAATGTTCCAATGATCTTATATGCATTGTACCTACCAAAGCACTAATATCACACACTGCTTAAAAACCCCCACCACTCACGAATCAGACACATGCTTAACCTTCACCTCATCCACACACTTCCCAAAGATGCTGGGAAATATATAATTTATTTATATTTATATATATACATTTATAATTTATACCCAAATTACATGGCTCCACATATTCAGCAATGACAGGAACATCATCTCAAATGTATAGCAACACAATGACAAATCTGATAATAAAACAAAGAACTGCAGGTGCTAAAGATCTGAAACAAAAACAGAAAGAGCTGGAGAAACTCAGCAGGTCTGACAGCATCTGTGGAGAGAGAGAGCAGAGTTGACATTTCAAGCTCAGTAACCCTTCTTCAGAATTAATGTGCTACACCCTCGGAGAAAAAGATTGCAGGTAATAAGAGGAAATAACAGAGAGCTAGAATGAAGCAAAAACAGCAGAATCTCTTCACTGGAAGACACAAACCTTCAAATTATTGGTTGGTCATAACCGAGGCCATTGTAATTCACATCATTTAGAATATCCAGTATGTTCCCGCCTTATACAAATTCTCAACTCCAACTTCTTTCTTGGAGTGTAAGGTTGGAGTGTAAGCTACTGGTCCAGCCACATTACCACTCTACCACTTCCTCCCCAATCTCAAAGTTGATTGGAAGAGTGCTGGAAAATTTGTGCCTGGAGATGATGAAAGAGATGAACTGAAGTTGGCAATATTACAGATTTGGAAGAAGATGATACTGATGATTGAGCAGATATTGAGAAGAAAATTGAGCCAGTTTCTCAATTATAATTGATGGAGTTGAGATCAGAAATGACTGTCACCAAGAGGTTGAACACTGCCGTATAAATATTCACCAAGTGAGGATTCTACTACAAACCTACAAACTTAATTTTTACTTTTATTTCCTTGTTTACTTATCTATTTTAAGTTTAAAAAACAATTCTACTTAACTTTTTCATCGTCCATGTCACTGTCAATTTTGAGCAATCCAGCAGCAATAACTCCCCCAAAACTCTGTTCAATTTTCAATAAATAAAACATTTCTTTTCTCCAACCCAATTCTATGAATATGTGATTCAGTTTATCCTAGGATTTTGAAGTTTTAGTCTGTAGTTTTCTGCATCTCATATGTCTTAAATACAGCCTTAATTATAATATAACCCGAAGTTGTTCACTCAAAAGGCTTAAGTCGATATCTAAATATTTCCTATTAAATTCTTCTGTCCACAGCCCTTGTGGGCAAGCTACCTTCGTAGCAATGTTCCCAAAGGAAACAATAGGGCAGCCTTTCTGCTAGATTGACAGTTATCATGCTAGTGTGGATAGGAGATGCACATGGAGACCATTGTAGCAGAGTCTGAAGGAATTGCCTGGGAAATTGAAGATTCCATTGGGCAATTCCTCTACTCCCGGAAGCTTCTGAGAGTCTTAATAAAAAAGATCTGAGATTTTGGATGGATCTGATAAAATTAAGTTAAATGGTTACTCCATTTAGGTTAGACCATTAAATACATAGTCCACCTCCTGAGAAACTATCTGACAACCTCCATACTCACTTCCTGCCTTAGGACCCAAAAACCCCTACGCCTGCAACCCACCCCACCAAACAGCAGAACAACTTTCACAGCTGACTGCTGTGAAAAAGGGACATGGTTTGTCTTCTTCTGAGAGTTCAATGCTATGTAAGATCTGTCAGAATGGAAGCACGTCCTTGTGTTTCTGAGGGAGTCCTGAGTGGAATTTTTTTGTAAAAAAGAAGGGTCGAAGTGGTAATCTACGCTTTCCGAAATATCTGGCCCAAGGTACCTTTCAACTCCTTCCTCACTAGCATTCCCACTTAAATAGAAAACATGATTAAAATCATTAAAACTTCTTGTTATGCCTTGTTCAAAAAATCAAACACCTTCTCTGTCCAATTCTAATTTCCAGTTTCTTTCCTATTTGGAAAACTTGAATTCAAGTTTTTGCATTTCCCTTGCCTTTTTCTCTCTATTAAGGTCAGGTGTCTCATATATGGAAGACGATTGTGGTTGCTGGATACCAGTTATCTCGTCCTTCCATCTTTCAGTCTGAGGTAAGGATGTCCGCAGATGATTGTGTAAAGATGTTCTGTTCCAAACACAACTTCTCCGATACTGAAGCAATCCATCTTCATATGTTGCAAAACCAAGGAGGCAGTCAGGCTTGGGCTGATAACTGGCAGTTCAATTGTGCAACATTTATGTTCAATTGTTCAATTTATATTCAATTGTGCAGGCAATTACCAAAAATACAGACTAACCATATCTTCTTCACAGTCAATAGTATTACCATTAACATTATGGGGCCTACCATTTATCAGAAACGGAATTGGAACAGTCATTTCAATCCTATGCAGAATAACAGGACAGAGGTTGAGAATTCCACAGTGTTTAACTCATCTCCTGACCTGGCAAACCTGCCACTTTTTATGTGGCGTAGGTCAGGAATATGATGGAATATTCTCTGGCCCAAGATGTGTGCTGCTCCAACATATTCAAGAAGCCAACATCATTAAGGATAAAGCAGCCTAATTTATCAGCATCCCATTCAATCCCACCACCCCCAATGCACAGTGGCAGCAGAGTGTACCCTCTACAAGATGCATTGCAGAAACAATCAAGTTCCCTTGAACCACACCTTTCCAACCAATGATCCCTACTACCATATACTCCCATTCCGTCACAGGGACTGCCTCCAAACATTCAAACTTCCTTCTAACAACTCTGTCAGTGCGCCTTCACCACAAGGATTGCAATGGTTCAAGAAGACATCTCATTACCATCTTCCTCAGGACAATGAGGAATGGGCAACTAGCGATGTCTACATCCCACAAAACAATGAAGAAATGATGTGCCAAAAGCATTTGCAAAGCTATTTGGATGGCAAGGTTGGCTTACTTTTTATTATTCTTATATGGTTCGTTCCTAATTGACGTAGAGTAACAGTCACAGAGGCATGGGGCATGGAAACAGAATCTTCAGCCCAACCCACCCACGCCCTTAAATTGAGTGTGTAATTTCAAGAGATAAGCTTCGACCACATTGCTGTAGAGTCACATGTAGACTAGGTCAGGTAGGGATGACAATTTTTTCTTCCCTAAAGGACATTAGTTAACCAAATGGCTCTTTACAGCAATTAATGATAGTTTCATGAACACCATTACAGAGTTGAGTTATCAATTTCAAATACACTGATTGAACTTAAATTTCACCAATCATTGTGATGGAACTTGAACCCACAAGTTTCCTGAGGATTAGTCTACATCGCATACTAATCCAGTCACATATATCATTAAGCCATCATATTCTACTGTATTGATTTGTGCCTATCTGTCAGCCTTACAACCATTAGGCCCTGCAACGTGCAACTAAGGGATCTCATGCTTATTTTATGTCCCAAGCAGGAACTAGTTTGTCCTGAAGGCAGCAGGCCCAGGTCCTGCTGTGTTCATTGTTCATCATGTGGTTTTAGAGTGAAACCAGTAATAAAATCAACGCCTCTTGGAAATGACAGTTCTGGTCATATTGGACTTCCTTTTTGAAGTACATGAGATGAGTTGAACCATTATGTCTCATTCACATTGTCATTGGCTTTTCCATCTTCAACTGTTTTCTCATGAACTACTGAAGGCTCGATCAGATCAGTAATAATTTTTTTCAAGATTCGTTTGAGATTCTGAAACCAGGAGGACCATGACAGCTCCCGACTCAAGCAAGAAGTACAATCTGCCCTGCATAACTCTTTCCCATTGTCTGATTGAGATCTCCAGGAAGTTCTCTAAATATGGTCACTATGATAAGGACAGACGGATGTCATTTGTATTAAAGTCAAACCACTTTCTGAGGCATAGTACAAATACTTAGAATTTACTTCAGATGCCCTGCTCTGATACCTAAGAAAATTGAAGGCACAGACACAGAAATACTCCTTTCATGATTTTTTTCAGAAAGCTGGTAAGAATTTCTCATCATTCTCGTTTGTATGATGTGTTCTGTTAGAGGGAACTGTTTGGGTAGCAGTAGCAGAATAAAATATTATTGAACAAATGATTACTCAGATCCTAATTGTCAAATTCTATGAACAAAATACCATCCAACAACACTGTGGTAAAATTACAAAAGCAGAATTCCCACAGATAGTAGCAATTACTGCACTTCTTAGGAGCCATTTAAAGTGTTCTGGTTTCTAAAGTTGTTTGATCTATTAGGATGAAGCAAAATATCTTTGAAAGAAGATAAAATATTCACTGATATCTACTTCTAAGTTTCAACTATTTTTGCTTAATGCTTTTCTCTTACTTGCTGACTTTCCTTATATCAGTGCCTTGAGAAAGAAAGGTGAAGGATCCTTGGAAATAAAGAACACAAATCTTGAATCTGGGCCCTAAGCTAGCAATTTTATTTTGCCAAAGCATCATGAATCTCTCATTCTATTGAATAGAAATAACTTAAAGATATAAAATGGCTGCTTGTTCACATTCACAAAGTCAAAATTATCTCCAATCTAAACTAGCTACATTATTTTCTGTGATTGGTTGCTATCCTATTGCTATTAGTCTAATTGTTGCCTTTAAATTCTGCAATCAGTATGTCTTGCATTTTTACATCACCTTTCATGATTTTAAGATAGTGTATTGTATATTACAATGAATGAAGTACTTATGAAATTTGTCAGTAATGTTCTTTGAGGACGATAAAGTGCCCATTTATGATTTTCACATATGAACTGCACAGCTAAATATACCCCAAATTTTGCGATCTAGCCAGGGTTTACAACAAAATGTTTACATTATTTTTCATGTCTGCACAGTTCTGACTGCTAACTCGGGGCAAGTTTTTCTTGCCGTTCAGTAGTTTGGAATGAATCTTGCAAATGGGGCATCTTCTTTTATAGATTAATTCCTGGCCCACAGTTTCATTTCTTCTTTTAAGGATACTCATTATACTTTACCTCAATGTTGTTTGAATGACAAGGATCCGACAGTATTAACATTCCTATAGTATTCTAATTTAAATGCTTATGCAATTCTATATCATATGAACTATCTTATTCTATTTGATAATTTCTATACGTTTATATGTATTTCCATGTTGGCCCATTTAATGACGTGTATCAAGAGATATACAAATACAGATGATTGCATATGTTCATTAAGACAGGCAGGCATAGATAGGACTTATCAAAGCTGATGAGTTAGCTTCTCTCAACCTCCCACAAAACCCATGAGCAGACTACATAGATTTCTTAAAGTACAAATTGCTAAAGGCCAAGTTCATTATCTTCTGTTGATATGTCAGCTGGTTTCATAGCGAGCTCAGCTACGTTACTTCATTACAAATATCAGGTAACATAATGTGTTACATTCTGTGTACGAAATTCAATTCATGCCTCCTTCCTTTACCAATAACTAAAAATCCAACCAATTTGCCATGGCCCAGCAGATAATGGTTGAGGACTTGCTTTAGAACATAGAACATAGAACATAAAGCATTACAGCGCAGTACAGGCCCTTCGGCCCTCGATGTTGCGCCGACCTGTGAAACCAATCTGAAGCCCATCTAACCTAAACTATTCCATTATCATCCATATGTTTATCCAATGACCATTTAAATGCCCTTAAAGTTGGCGAGTCTACTATTTTTGCAGGCAGGGCATTCCTCGCCCTTACTACTCTCTGTGGCCTGGATCGGGAGCCCCAATGTCTATTCCCTGACTATACTATCCCCAATTACAACTATATTTCTCTGTTCTCCCCTCTCTTGAATGGATCCCTCTACCATGATGCTATGGTCAGTTTGCTCATCTTCCCTACAGTCCCCACTCTCATCCACACACGGAGCAAGAATCTCAAACCCGTTAGACAAGCTCAAAGTCTGAGCTCCTTCAGCACTACCCCTGGATCTCTCTACCTACATCACTCATAGTCACACACTCCTATCCCTGACCACTGCCTGATTTCATGGCAGTTTATCTAAGGTGTGTGACTGCCTCTTGAAACTCAGTTTCGAAGTAGCTGTCCCCCTCCCTGATGTGTAACAGTGTTTAGAAGTTCAAACTCCAGCTCGTCAATTCTGGGCCAGAATTCCTCAAGTAACCGACAATTGTTATAGATGTGGTCACTACAAACAACAATGGGATTCAACAGCTTCCACATTAGGCAGATACAACACGTTATCTGGTCCTACATCTCTATTTTGTTTATATAGTTGTTAATTTGTTTCTTTTAAATTTCCTATTGGCCTTTTAGTTTGTAATCTATATGTATGGCCATGTATTGCCACCATTTCTAGACAACACCAATTTATGAATGCTTCAAATGGCTTTAGCAGTATAAACATCTACAATATCGTGTATCCTTCTGGCCAGAGTTACAATGGATGTTATTAGTCCATTCACGCGAAATAAATCCTTGTTCTGTCAATGAGTGCATTAAGTCAATCCTTTTTAACTCAATAACAGATGTTAATAGCTCTGAAAAAAGTAATCAGTTAATGCTGACCTTTTCTTCACTCTAATGTTGTTTCACTTGTCAATAACAATAAACAAATATAGATTATTAAATTAAACCAGCTAGTTCATATTGTATAGAATGGTATGAGTGTGGGAATCAGAATATTGCAGAATCATTAAGTTAAAATAAACTTTAGACAAATGTAGGGATAAATCCACCAGGCTGTTTAGCACTGCAGACAGAAATGTGAGAAAGGAATGTCAGTCACTGAACAGATTCCAGAGTAGATATAGAATAAGTCCTTTTTTTATATAAAGATTGAAAGGGATAAGAGATTGTAGGCTACAGTCAATTGTAGTATGTACTCGTGTACATAACTATTCAACATTTTTATTCTGAAGTTCTCTGCTCCAAAGCAGAACAAACAGAGTTATTATCTCTGGTTTGTTACCCGTGCCACGTGCTAGCGAGGCGAGGAATAGGGAGAGAGAGCAGTTGAACACGTGGCGACAGGGATGGTGCAGGAGGGAGGGATTCAGATACCTGGATAATTGGGGCTCATTCTGGGGTAGGTGGGACCTCTACAAACAGGATGGTCTACACCTGAACCAGAGGGGTACCAATATCCTGGGGGGGAAATTTGCTAATGCTCTTTGGGAGCATTTAAACTAATTCAACAGGGGGATGGGAACCTGAATTGTAGCTCCAGTGTACAGGAGGTTGACAGTAGTGAGGTCATAAATAAGGTTTCAAGGTCTCAGGAGTGTACCGGCAGGCAGGAAGGTGGTTTGAAGTGTATCTACTTCAATGCCAGGAGCATCCGGAATAAGGTGGGTGAACTTGCAGCATGGGTTGGTACCTGGGACTTCGATGTTGTGGCCATTTCGGAGACATGGATAGAGCAGGGATAGGAATGGTTGTTGCAGGTTCCGGGGTTTAGATGTTTCAGTAAGATCAGGGAAGGTGCTAAAAGAGGGGGAGGTGTGGCATTGTTAGTCAAGGACAGTATTACGGTGGCAGAATTATATGGAGGTTATTGTTGACCAACCATTAACCCCTTACTACAACAGTAACTGCAGATGTAAATCCATTTACAAACACAAGTAAAACCTCTTTGGAGCATTTAGAAACATCTTGAGACTTCTAGGCATCTGGCTAAGGTAATGGATGATGTAGTTGATGAGAATAAGGGAAAAGTGTCAAATGTTAAAGGATTGATTGGAATTAGTTTATTAGTTCTTTGTCGGTTAGGGCTTAAGTAAATTTGAATGTAATGTTGACTGCTGCTCCTTGAAGACATAGAGAACTCTGAAGAGGAATGGGAAGAACTAATGTTCAAAGCAGTTTAGAGAATTCTTTCCCAGGAGCAGCATCAAATTCACCTGAATATCTAAGAAAATCAAAGATGGAATCTCTTTAGGGGCCTGAGCAGCTTGGGCTATGGTGAGATTAATGGCAGAATATGGTGAGAAGTCCAGCTATTATGTTTTTAACAAGTAGCGAGGTGAGTTATATTTGTTTGGCCCTGTAATGACAGAAAGGGAGGGATTGAGTGAGATGAGGTGGGTGATAGAACTGGTGCAGGTATGGTGGTGAAGTATTCCGAAGAAGTAAGTAGGCAGGGCAGTGAGCATGTGGGGTTATTGATGTGGGAGCTTTCGGTGAGTAAGAGTGACTGAGAGAAGATGTTGGAGCCTATAATCAGACAGCCAGAGCATGAGCCTTGGTGGGAGGTGAATGCAGTAGCAGAAATAAAGTGAGTATGAGGCAGCAGAGAGAAGGGTGGTATTTACCCTGGTGAGCAATGAAGCTCTTTAGAACTATTGGCCATTTCTGTCTTTTGTGGAGACAGCACTGACTTGGGTGGTGACTGCAAGAGTCTAGTGATGTGATCTCCTCTTCCTGTCCTCTTTTGCACCATCCCTCACCTTCACTTCATCTCCTGTTCAAATATTAAGTTTCAGATTGATTCTTGGGGTAACTTTAAGTTCCATCTGAGTTTTATTCCTCTTGAATTGGAGCTTGATGTGTCAAAAACTTCATTATATTTGCAACTGTATTTACAGTATGATGTTGCATTTCAGGAACTGAATGTAAAACCTTGTCCATAATAGGGAGTAATATACACTTCATGTCAATTCAATTGCCATCAGCTTTGAGAGCATCTCACTTCTTAAAATGTTTTGAGAAAAGCTGAACAAATAGCAGGACAGAGTTACAAGAATACAAAATACAAAATCTCAAAGGAAAGTACAATTTATAATTCTTGTATACAATTTATACAGCGTATGACTTCATTGGTAGTGGCCAGTTGCTCTTTCTTTTGTTTCCAACTAATGAGTCATGGGTTACCCAATCTATTGAAATTATACTGCAATACTACAGTTACTTGTTGCTCGGTTCCGACTTAGCAACATGTAGAATGGCGTGCAGTTCAATCACTAAAAGGGATTCGTATATTTCCATACAAGTTAGAATCAGATATTTTAAGATGTGACCCAC